ATTGTACTCTGTTTTGGTGACTGTGAAGTGATTTTTTGCTATTTTTTGTGAAAGTAAAGTGCTTTGCCTTTTTTGCTATTTTTTGTGAAAGTAAAGTGCTTTGCCTCTGTTGTTCTGAACATAATGCAAGCAGTGTCAGCCACTATCATTGTACTAAGTTATCATCGTTCGCTGTTTTTGTGACTGAAGTGAGCAGTGTAACTTTGAAAATGTCTGAGACGGCCAAGACATCCAGGAAAACCATGCCTCTGGAGGTAAAGCTTGACACTGTAAAGTTGTATGGGAGTCAGAGTGATGTGTCCACTCCACCATTCAAGAGTCCCCTTAGCCTCGATGGGGACAAGTGTTGTTTAATTGTGTTTTATGAATATCATTATTGTAGGAATTTTATTTTCGGTGATACGTGTGGGTGTCGGACTGGCTGGTAACATATCCCATTGAACCCCATGTTTTAATAATCTTGATTTACGATATTTTGAACTGCGATGGGGTTTTCAGGAACGTAACGCCATCTGTACAGTGGTCCCTCGGTTAACGAGCTCAATTCGTTCCAGAAGGTTGCTCGTTAACCGAAAAATTCGTTAACCGAAACCATTGTTTCAATGGGTTTTTGGGTAATTGGTTCCAGCTCACCGAAAATTGCCTAAAGTTGAAGCAAGATGTTACCTCCACTGAAAAGACACAGAGACTGACGCCTGCTTGGTGTGTTGAGAGGCTGTTTGGCGCGCTAAAAACTAGTTTCCCTGTACTTTAATTATATTAAATAATTGTTAAAATGACAAAAAATTTTATAAGACTTTTAAAATTATTGAATAGTACAAACTTCTTGATATTTACTAAAATAGTAAGGAATTTAAGCCCTAGAACCGATTACTGTATTGGTGGACTAATACGACAGCTAGTGTGCAAGCAAAAACATGTTGAGGGGCGCTCGTAAGGAATTCGTTAATCGAGGGAATGCTAGTTAACCGAAGTTAAGAATCTTATGGAAGGTAATTCGTTAACCGAGGCGCTCGTTAACCGAGGGATCACTGTATATGATTTCCACACTAAAAAAATTCAATGTAATTTCAAATGTACAGGCGGCCCCAAAATTAGCGGGGTTATGTTCTCAAAATAGCCGTGAATCGCCAAATCCGTGAATAACATTTGCGAACCGGTTTGGGGGGGGGGAGGGGGCGTGACATTTTTCTTGTGTACAAAAAATGTATATTCCCTTTATGAGTTTGCCCTTAGGACAGTTATTTCTTTTACCTGTAATATTGTATATGTGTGTGTCTGTGTAGACACACACACACACATATTTAGATCATAGGTAAAGGAAATTACTGTCTCTAGAACGAATGGCTCCCTGTCCCAGCCGCAAAAATGCTGGCAACTTTAAAACTACCCACAGACATTCTTGGGTACGTATAAATATATTGTAAATAAATAAATATCTAAACTGGATAAAAAAATATAATTACAACACTTGGTCTCGGTAGAAGATTTACATGAAGTCGCCAGTACCAGTCACTAAAATCAGGAGAAACTCTTTTGGCAGAAATTGCAGGAAGCCATAGCATAAACTTTCATTTATGGCTGAAGGGGTTTGAATCTGTGAGTCTAAACAGAAGGGTTGAATCTTTAATCAGATGCTTTACTGGTCCTTGACACATCCACCTGCATTGCACGGTAATATTTATTTGCATGAATATACAGTAGTCCATCGGTTAATGAACATAATTCGTTCCAGAAGGTCATTCGTTAACCGAATCCATTGTTTCAATGGGACATTGGGTAATTGGTTCCAGCTCACCGAAAAGTACATAGAAAGTAAAAAGAAAAGTGCAGTAAAGTACACTTACTTTGAGGTGTGTATGTAGAAGGTTCCTGGTTGATGATGATGATGGGAATTAGAAGTGAGGGTGGAGGAGAAGGGAGAAGAGAAGGAAGTGGGGATGGAGGAGAAATCACCTTTCAGTGGACCCATGCTTGATGCAGTCATTTCACCATTAAAATTTTAAGTTCACTTGGTGTAATTCAAGATCATTTTCTTTAAATCAACACTGCACTGCGCTATATATTATCAATATGTTAACCAAAGTTCAGAATGACCAATAATTTCAATGAAAAATGCAAAAATATTCAAGACACCAACAAAATAGATGTTCTCTCCACTGTTTTCAAAGCCCAACTGACGCCTTGTAGCTGATTCACGCATCTTATGGCCGCACAACAAGCTAATTCCCTGTACTGCATATATTATCAATATGTTTAATAAATGTTAAAATGACTAATAATTTTAATATAAAACATGCAAAAATATTAAAGTGCACAACTTTACTGGTATTTACTCCATTGGAAACGAATTTAAACATAGGACAGATTACTGAATTGGCAGACTAGCCCATCAGCTGATGCTCACAACAAAACGTGATGTTCGTAAGGATTTCGTTAATCAAATTTTTGTTCGTTAACCGAATTCAAGATTCTTATGGGAGGTAATTCGTTAACCGAAGCGTTCGTTAATCGAGGGACCACTGTAGTATCCTACAGCAAGATGATGTTTTAGGTATATCACTTGCACAAGACCCACAAGGCAGAAAATGATCCAGTAAAAAATACATGGTAATTACAATAGATGATTCCTGCAAAGACTATGATACATGTGATAATACAATACTTTGGCCTCCTAAATTATACATAAGTAATTACATGAATGGAAAGGATTAACATACCTGGACTACAGCATTGTTACCAAAGGGTCGGGATATGTTTAGAGTCATGTCTTGAAACATCTGATTAACTCCTTGAATCAGCATGTCAACTTGCCTGCAATATCAAAGCATAAAATTAAGTGTTTGCTTTATATGAAATATAATCAGTGATCTTTATTCTCACACTTGTAGGCAATTAAATACCACACAACAAGTGCCAGCTTAAATTGCTTCATACTAATTAGATTAGAAAAAAGTATCTCACAGGAAACCCTATTTTATGGACAAGGGAAAGAGTCCAAAACAACCCCTAGTACAGACTGCCTTAACCAAAGAGCCATTTGCATTCTCAAGTGGGGATATAGAACAAATCAGATCAGTGAAAATGCTCTTCGCAGTCACTTGATCATTCAGACAAGGGTTCTGAAGTGAACTCCTGCTCCATCCTGGTAGTTGCTTTCAAAGCTGGAGGTCAACAAGAACACTATTATAAATCTTAAATTCCTTTGCTTGAATTGTACCCTAATTAACACAGACTTAGGAATCATACAATAAAACTTGAATTTTTCCTGCCAATGGGAGAAACAACCAGGGTACAGAGAGAGGAATTCCAGATCACTTTACTCCTTCACAGCCAGAAAATGTAATTTCAAGCTTCAATCCTGTTTCATAATCTACTGGGAAGATTCCAAAGCAGTCAGTTGACAAGGAAATATTCCTCTCAAATCAAAGATGATCCGTCATTGTTACTGTACTGCCCAGAGTTCCACACATCACTGTAGTGTATAATGCATTACTTGTTCAGTAAAGCCCTTCACTCGAAAGACAAATCACCATAAAAAATGCAGAAATCCAATAAGAACAGCCAATCTGAGCAATACAGGTGATAAATTGTGATAAAAATTTCTTAAAATACTGGTTACTGATTTATATTTTCTCCTTAATGTATGAAAATGGCAAAAAGAGCTAAAATAAATAAAAAAAATAAGTTTTCCAAGTACAGTACTGTACAAGCAAACCCCGATTTGTGAAAGGGTTAAAAAAATAAAATAAAATAAATTAAAATCAATCCTATAACCAACAAATTTAGTCCAAATGATGAATGGTACCCTCAAAGCTGTCATCACAAAGACCTGAAGCAAGACCCTTGGCCAGCTCAGAAGAAAATGACCAAGAATTCGAGGTACTATATACTGTACATTAGACCCTCGCCAACCTCAGATTTCTCATCCGTCGATGCCGGGTATCCTCGGTTTTTACTCTGTACCGGTATACCATTTCACCAACCACGGCATTGAATGTCGAGTATCCGTGGATTAGTGTGGCATCTTTATCCCTCTGCGATCTAATGTAATCTTCCATAAATGTGAGGAATGAAAAAATACCTGGACTAATAAATGAAAAATACTGCATTGTCATTTGGCAACCATTTCTCTAAGGGCACAAGAGAGCGCTTCCCCCTCTTCCTCCCACGATAGTCAGCTAACTCCTACGGATGTAAGAAATGGTTTACCTCTTTATGTTTTTGACCTTATACAGTAATAATCATTTCCTTCATTAATTTTTTTCACATTCTGAATGAACGATTGTGTACATGTAACAGTAAAAAAATAAAAAATAAACAATTTTTTTTTAATAAACTACAAGTTGAAAAAGAACAATAATGCGGCTCACAGCTTAGCCTGGTATGGAGAGGCAGAGATCCCTATAACACTACACCCATCCCATGATTCAACACTTAACTCCTGTGGACATAAGAAATGTTTATTTTCTTTATGTTTATAACCTTATGATAACCACTTTTTTTTTTTACACAGTCTGTATGAATGATTGAGTGTTCCTGTAACAGTGTTAAAAAATGAATAAAATTACGTATGTCTACATGAAAATACGAGTTGAAAAATAACAATAACACAGCTTAGGCTGGTAGGGGGTGGTAGCTACAGGGACAGTCTAACTTGACAATCTGCCAAGTCCACACACACATGTTCACTTCATACACATACACACCCATGCTCTTCATTTTTCTTATTTTATAGCAATGTGCCATCTCCAAGGAGATGTATTGTAAAATTTATATTACTACAGTATTTAATTTAGATTAAATGATTTTATAAGTACAGTACTCAAATTTAATTAAATGTACAACACAGGTCTTGTTTAGTGAAGGAACAGGCAACTTAGGCCTTGACGAGTGTTATCCGCAGCCATGGGGTTTTTCAGGAACCTAACCCCTACAGTTGGTGAGGGACTACTGTACTGCCTTCAGTGACTGGAAAATTAACCCTCAGTCTCGGACCAAAGCTTATTCCTAGCTCTTCATCCATCCACATTCAAACCCAACCATTTCTTGAACCAACTGGTCTCCATCATTCACTCCACATACTAGAACCATCTCAGCCTACCTCTATGCAAAACCTCACCAATACTTACAATATCAGTAAAATTGGCCTGGTTTTGCACAATTATGCTTTGCATGCCAATTTTCAGGGATGTATCCCTATGATAAGTAAGGGACCAGTGTATAACAGCTCTTGCATTACTGTCATTAACCTTTTAAGTAATTTCTGAAGGACCAAATTGCAAAGACAAAAAAAATCTCACAAAGAGAGAAAATTAAAGACTTACTGTTGAGGTACATTGTGGTTTAATGAAGCAGGTCGTCTCCTCTTAGCAGAATATGGTAATGATATCGATGATCTCTTGAGATTGTTTCCAGAAAAGAGTGAGTGCATTATGGTGGAGTAACAATGTACCTGTTGGGTATATACGATACATCAAACAATTGAATGAAAGAATAAACAAACAATTAAATATACAAATACAGTACTGCAAGTAATCCTCATTTATCACAAGGCTTCTGTTCTTGAAAACTCTTAAGATGTGTGAAATTGCAATACTGTACTGTATGCAAAACTCACATTCCCATTAGAAACAATGGTATGCATTCCTGGCTGGGCATACATCAAAAGTTAACAAAAATTGCTATGATAAACATTAAAGCTTATAAAAGCATATTGCAAAATACAATAACGCACATTTTATGTACAGTCAACCCATCCTCTGGCCGACATGACACAGTTCAACCAGGCAGTCACCCTGCTGATTCTGAGACGTGTGACTGCTGCCATGCTGTGTATGTTATGACTTCCCATCAGGGAAGGAAGAATGCAGCTGAGTGGAGAGTTGGCAATGAAGTTATAGTTCACTGTCCCCACACACACATTCACTTCACACACATACCCATACTCTTCATTTATCATATTTTATAGTTTTATTATTGTAATGATTTTTCCACAACTTTTATAGTTTTATTACATGTAACAATGGCAACATGCCATCTATTCCCCAGTTTTCCCCTTCTCAGTGAGTCAAACTATTGCTAAACCAAATTTTGACTTAACGTTAAGTGAGAATGGGTGTCAAATTTTTTAGCGCTAAACCGAATTTAAGTGGAGTGAATAAATGCAAAATGAAGGATACCTGTACATGAACATCAAGACAGGGAGGCACCGGGCTGGCTGTGACTGCACTGTGTCAACAAAGACCCAGGAATTTAATACCATACTATATACTGTAGCTCATCTGGAGTCAAGTGGAATTTTTTTTAATTTATTATTTTACCATAATGTTTTATTATCCTAGTACCAAATGAACCAAAATAAGATGGGAATTATGGTGAAATTGCATACTGTTGTATTAATGAGGTCAGGGGGGTGGCGAATGTTCAAGAACCAATTCACTTCCTACTCTTCATTTTTTTTTGTAGTTGTATATTATTCAGTGGATATTCTACCTCTCATGGACATTTCTCAACTTACCAACCAACAACCACCACCATTTACACCCAAGTTTACCACTAGTATTATGGGCATAAAAAAACACACTTAATAAAGTTAAGAATGTATAAAAGATTTAAGTTGTAGTAATAAATAATTATATGAGAGGATTGTGGATTATGTTTCTTCACCCTCTGAAAGCTGAGCATGAACTGATGCATCTCTGCAAATTTAAAAGATTCTTGTTGACTGTTACTTTTATCCTTTTCACCACAGATCGGCTCGTTAGCTGCTTGGGAAAGGGTGCTCTGTTGGAAGTAGTTTGAGTGCATGATTAAAAATTTTCCTTGCAATAGCATTAAAAAAAAAAAACCACACACACTTGGATATTTCGTACATACAAATCAGATATGTGACAACACAAAATTGCAATACAGGTATCCCTTGCTATATGGACATTTGCTTATACGAATATTCTGTTCTTATAAAGTATTTCTTTCTCAGAGTGCATCCTCATCCCTAGAGCATTAATGAATGAAGGTAAGACACAGACTGCACTTTGGTAAATTTCAGGGTCAGTTACAGGTAGGCTTACAGTAGTGGTACCTTACCTTTCTGATGGTTTAATGTGCATCTTTTTCTTTTTGTTTCATGCACAAAATTATTAAAAATATCGCATTAAACTACCTGCAGGCTATATGTATCCATATTCGGTAAATGAGATATCCATGAATTTTGTGTTTAGACTTGGGCACAGGCCCCTCTGGGTGAGGTACCTGTACCCCATTATACAGGTATACAGTGTACAGGTATCCCAAAATCTGAAAAAATCCAGAATCCGAGACACATTCAGCCCCAAGGATTTCAGATTTGGAATTTTCAACCTGTTTACAAAAGCTATTCACTTTTTAACAAATAATGGTCCCTTAAGGAACCTAACCCATCTGTATAACGAGAGATACCAGTATGTGATTTTGGGATAAAAGAGGATTACCTATACAATGAACCCTCACCAATTCAATATCACCTCATCAGTTTAAAATTATATACAGTACAGTTATTTGCAGTCACAGGGATTTCCTTGTTATTTGCGGGTTGCCAATTTGCAGTAAACAGATGATGGCTAGCAGTGCAACGAGTCACCCTATGTGCCCGCGGCGTCTCATCCACTCTGTTTGCCCTCACCCAGTACCCGTGACCTAGCATCCCGTGTCACACTCTCAAAACTTTCGTGTTTCTTTGCGAAAATGGCCCCGAAAAGACTACCTAGTGCCAGTGCTGCTAGTGGAGTGAAACAGAAAAGGCAAAAGTCAGTGATGACCCCTGGCAAAGAAAATTGAATTATTAGACAAGTTAAAAGAGGGGGTGAGTGCTGCCGCGGTTGGCCGGTTGTTTGGTGTGAACGAATCCACAGTGCGGTACATAAGAAAGAATGAAAAAGCAATTCGTGATTCTGTTCAAGCGAGTGCTCCTGCAAGTGCTAAAGTGGCGCAGGTTGTTTGTGACAAGAACATTGTAAAAACCGAGAAAGCACTGAACATTTGGATCGAGGACTAGCACAGCAAAAATGTTCCGATAGACGGCAATGTGATTTGTGAAGAGGCTAAAAGTCTTTATGCTCATTTTTATGAGTCAACAGGTGGTGAAGGGGCTAGTGCAGTGACTGAACCAACTTTTAGTGCCAGTAAAAGTTGGTTCGAGAATTTTAAGAAAAGATTCTCGCTCCATAATGTTAAGCTGACTGGGGAGGCCGCATCAGCTGACCACACAGCCGCAGGTGCATTTCCCGCCAAGCTGAAGAAAGGCTATAGACCAGAGCAAGTGTTAAATGCTGATGAATCTGGTTTATATTAGAAGAAACTACCTGGTACTGTAGAACATATATAAACAAGCAGGAAAGATGTGCCTCTGGGTTCAAGGAAGCCAAGGACAGAGTGATGCTCATCTTCTGTGGCAATGCAGCTGGCTGCATTATCAAGCCTGGCTTGCTTTACCGCTCAGCAAACCCTAAGGCTTTAAAGGGAAAAACAAGAAGCTTTTGCCAGTGTTTTGGCAGTCCAACGAAAAGGCATGAGTAACTGTGCAAGCTTTCCTGGGCTGGTTCCATAAATGTTTCATCCCTGAAGTGGAAAAATACCTTGCTTCCAAGAAGATGGAATTTAAGGTGTTATTATTGATAGAAAATGCACCAGGCCACCCAGAAAGTTTGCAATTTAGCCATCCAGGTGTAGAGGTGGTGTTCCTACCCCCTAACACCATTGCTCTTATCCAACCTCTCAATCAGGGTGTAATACACACCTTCAAGGCATATTATACACACTGCTCTTTTGGTCGTATCTGTAGTGCCATGGATGAAGACCCTGACCTTGATGTTAGCAAGTGTTGGAAGGAGTACAACATTACAGACTGCATTATCAACTTCAGTGAATCATTCAGTGAGCTTAAACCAGAGACAGTGAATGCTTGTTGGCACATCTTATGGCCTGAGTGTGTGAATAACTTTCAGGGATTTCCGTCCATGGTAAAGGATGTGAATGACATTGTGAATGTTGCATGTCAGTTGGGTGGTGAGGGGTTTGTGGACATGGCTGCTGAAGATGTGGAAGAGCCGATTGATGGGCATGGAGAGGAACTTACAGAAGAGGATTTGAAAGAGTTGGTAAAAATTGCCAAGAAGATATGGAATTACAACATGAAGGTTGGAGTATGGAAATTTTGGTGAATTATTTCGTCAGGTAAAGATGGTGAATGATTTCATTGTTGACCACGACCCTTCCATGGAACGCAGCCTTTAGATGGTCCGAGGAATCAATCAAGTATTGTTTTCCTATCGGGAAATGTTTCAAGAACTGAAAGCCAAGAGGAAACAACTGCCAATCAACATTTTTTTTTTAAGAAAGAACCAGCTAGTGCTACCGCTGCCGCTCCACCCTCCTCTTCTCCCCAGCCACGCACCACCTCACCACCCTCCTCTTCCCCTCAGCCACGCACCACCTCCCGGTCGCACACCACTCCACCAACCACCACTGATTCACCCTCTTCCACCAGTGATCTTGATGATCCACCTATGCTTCATTAACCAGATGTCTCCCTATATACAGTACACCACTTCATCAAGCTCCAGACTTCCACATACAAATGTAAGTACATTATTGTGACTTAAGTTTCTCATACACAGTATAGGTATACCTGTATATTAGTGCACTAAGGTATTACAGAAATGGCTATTTGCGGTTTTACCTATTCGCGCCATTTCTTGGAACCTATCCATCGCGAATGGCAAGGGTTTACAGTAATTATTATTCTTTGGTCACAATAGGGGTCTATAATGCTTGAAACATTCAATCAGATTTTCTCCACTCCAACAAAGGGGGTTCCAAGAAATAAATGGTCTTAGCTAAGAGGTGCTACAAAATTAAGTTAAGTACTTATTTCTCACCTTCTCCATCCAAGTATAACAGTCCAGAAGCTGGTAGTAGAGTGGTAGTTTATCTGGTGAGGGGTCCAAGGACAAGAGCCCTGTGTTACCCAGATTTACAGGGTTTGAGGGTGGATTAAGACCTGCTACTTGAGTCTCCAGTTCTCTGCAAGTTAAAAATATATATAAACAGGCTTTTCTTCCCAACTGAAATTCTCAATAGCTTAAAAAATTCATATTTTAACTGAATAATGAAGGACTGATGCTGAAATTCCATTACAACCATATCTGGCTTGGGCAACTCCAATATCAGCCAAAGACTATTGGATGAGACGCCCAATCCTACAATACGAACATGTATTTAGCCATAATCAGGGTAAAAAAAATTTTCTTTGCCTAAAAACCACATAGAGACATGAAATCACTGCCATATTAAGTGTTCGCATTTTCTGCCCCATTATTCCCATCTTCTTTCAGGCCCTACTTACTAACAAATAATTTATCACCCAAAGAACATCTGGAAAATATAGAAGAAATATATAAAAGCGTTCGGGTGCTAATCATCTGCTCCACCTTTACCATACAATGAGCTAGACTTTCTCCAAATAATAAGCTTTGTATTGGGAAAAATTAAAAAAAAGCGAGGTTAGTTATTTTGGAACTACAGTATGTACTCACATTTCAATCGCATGTCACTAAAACATACTAGCAATGTTTACAACCCAACAGGCTCCTTGTCATTCTGTACAGTACTACAGTGGTCCCTCGGTTAACGAACACAATCCGTTCTAGAAGGTTGCTTGTTAACCGAAAAACTCATTAACCGAAACCATTGTTTCAATGGGTTTTTGGGTAATTGGTTCCAGCTCACCGAAAATTGCCTAAATTCAACAAAAAAGGTAGAAAGGTTCACTTACTTTCAGGTGTGTATGTAGAAGGCTCCTGGATGATGATGGGGATTAGAATGGGGGTGGAGGAGAACGGAGAAGAGAAGGCATTGGGGTGGAAGAGAAGTCACCCCATGGCGCCATTTCACCCATAAAATTTTAGTTCTCTTGGTGTAATTCAAGATTATTTTCTTTAAATCAACACGGCACTGCATTACATATTGTCAATATGTAAAATAAACTTCAAAATGACCAATAATTTGCTTGTAAACACAGAAAAAAAAGCGTTTAGCTGAAGAGAGTCTCAAGCAAGATGTTACCTCCACTGAAAAGACAAAAAGACTGACGCCTATATGCTGTGTTGGCAGGCTGAATGGCGTGCCACAAACTAGTTTCTTTACCTTCAATTATGTTCATAATTGTTAAAATTACTAAAAAACTTAATATTAAACCATTAAAATTATTGAATAGTATAAACTTCTTGATATTTACTAAAAGGGTAAGGAATTTAAGCCCTAGAACCGATTACTGTATTGGCGGACTAATACTACAGCTGTTGGACCGCCAAATGCAAGCTAAAACATGTGGAGGTCAGCTCGTAAGAAACTCGTTAATCGAGGGATTGCTCGTTAACCGAAGTTAAGAATTTTATGGAAGGTAACTCGTTAACCGAAATCTCGTTAACCGAGGGACCACTGTACAGTACAGTATTTTAAGAAAAAGCTGCGACCCACAGATATTTTGGCAAATGATAATGGTAAATGTTCTATTTTAGGTAGAATTGTTTCTTATGTTATGTGATGTGACATTTTGATTATACTGTATAGGTGTTTTTGTGACTGTATTAGCAACTTATTCTTTTCAGACAAGTCAAGAAATGAACAACGATCTCATCGGGAGTGTTTATTACAATTTATATTGCATTGAATTCGCTCATTTTCCTAAAGATGTTGTTTGGATAATAACCAAAAAATCAAAATGACAATTCACAGGTTAGGAAGATAGGTAGGTTAGGTAACATTCTAATAAGGGTATTATTTTAGTTTTGGTCATCCAGGGACTTGTACAAATTTCAGAAAGTATTTTTCACAGCAATATTGTGAAACAGAACTGGGTTTGTGGGCCAAGTCCGTTGTTGACAGGAAACATTATTGCAGTGAGGTCTGTATGAACTGGATGGAAAACCAGGAACCTATTGGTGGCCCAAATGCAATTGTAGAAATTGACGAAAGTAAGTTTGGTAAGAGGAAGTTCCAACATGACCGCTTAGTGAAGGGTATCTAGGTTTTTGGCAGCATTGAGTGTGGATCGGGCTGCATGTTCGTTGTGCCGGTTGAGAAAAAGTGACGCCGACACCCTAGTTTCTCATTGCCAGAAATTTATCACGCCAGACCACCACTATCTACAGTGATTGCTGGAAAGCCTACTCGAACTTGGGGTCCTTAGGTTATAACAAACCAAACCGTTAACAACAGCGAAAACTTTGTTGACCCTGATACTGCAGTGGAAGATTATAAAACCCTGGGTTCTGAGGGCTGGCAACAGGGATTACCACGACAAGCACTACTTCGTTCGCTACCTGTTCTGCCACATTCACCAAGACCACAGCACAATCCTTCATCACTTCCCCAACACTGTGGCTCGCCGTTTCCTACCATCACAATAACAAATAACGGTATTATTGCGTTTTAACATCACATATTCCTACCACTAATCTATTATCATTCGAATAAGTCGTCTAATTATAAGATAATTTTCATCTATTACATTACCGGCGCAAATGTATAATAATGGAGACAGCATATCCAAAATGTTCTCTATTTTCTTCCATTATTCTTCCGCCATTATCGCCTACCTCACCTCCCACACTGATGTCTCCTTCATAAATCATCACGCGCATGCTTTCCCGTACACGTTACGCGGCCAATCAAAAGCGTTTTTTTGGCAACCAATTAAAATGATTTTTGGTTTAATTCGCTGTAATTTTGACCCAATCAAAATCGATTTTTATTTTGGGTCTCTCATATTTCCAAATTCATATTCATTTCCGACCATGGAAGTGTGTGATGGGTGTCACTTAAATTATATGGAGCTGATTGTGAGTTTTGGGAAAAAAACTAAAAAAACTGGAGCATTTTTTCGATCGCATGGTGTTCTCCCAACCTCAGTAAAGTGTCATAAGTGCAAGACAATGTAAATATCGTCAAAACCAACATATGTGGCGTTGTCCTAACTCGTCCCTTATCCCAAAGACAAAGAAGAGACAGCAATAAGGTAAGAAATAGGTGATTCCATCATATGGTGAGAGTCGGTTAGGTTAGGTTTTTGCTTTTTCTAGTGGTTTTTTGGTGTATTTTTTATTCGCTTAGCCATTTTTTTTTTCGGAAAACGTCCCAAGAAAAAAAATCGATAAAAAAAACCGGCCAATTTCCGCCGGAAATGAAGGTCATATTCGGTCTAAACACACACAAATACACTAGAAAAATATATTTTTGACTTTCTAACAGAGTGTGGTGTGCTTATGCAAATTTACCCAAATAAATCCGCCGCCCAAGCTGCATAAGCGCCGATGCAGCCGGCTGCTCTCACATCCAGAAACAACCTTAAATTACACCATATTATAGTAAGTTCTTTCTATTTAATATACCGAGGGGTCCCGGGGTTAGGTAAGGTTAGGTAGGTTTATTTGGTTAGGTTGGTGAGGTGTTTTTCATACCCACTAAGGTTAGGTTAGGTATAATTTAGAAATAACTTTTTAATACCTTTTCACAAACTAAAAGTGTCCACTATATTAAATAGTGAAATTGCAGCGTTTATAAAATCATTTTTTTGTGAAGTCGCCCGCGGGACAATCAATGATTACCACAGTGAAATTGCAGCTTTTCAAAATCGTTTTCTTTAAATTTGGGCCGCAGTTTAGTCATCAAGGTTAATATATAGGCCTAACCAGCCAAGGCTGCATAGCCCCGATGCGGCTGTATCATCTCGCGTCTAGAAAATGCCTCAAATTTCACCATATCATAGTAAGTTCTTTCTGTTTAATATAGCGGGGGGTAGAGCCCCCTTCCCCCATAAGGAAGTTAGGTAAGGTTAGGTAGGTTTGTTGGGTTAGGTGTTCTTCATACCCACAAATGTTAAGTAGCGCTTATTTAAAAAATAATTTTTTTTTAACATATTTCCACAAACTACAACAGTGGCCACTATAATATAACAATGAAAATCCGGCGTTTTCGAAATTGTTTTCAATCAAATTCGCTGGCGGGTTAATCCTAAATAATTACCGTCATCAATTATTACCCTGCCTCCTCCATTAGTTTGTGTGGATTTTCAGTTTTGGCTCTAAGGTTGACATTTTCACGAGATTACCTAAAATAGCAGAACCTGATACTTCAAAAGTTCCCCGTCTCGCTTAATGTCAATAACGGACCTCGTGACTTTATATCCGTTAAGTATTACCCAACAAGAACACTCTAATTATTCTGTTTTTTTTTCAGAAAATCTAATTATGCAACAAGTCCTGTATATTCATAAGTTAAAGCTCACCGTAAATGGCATTTAACATCAGCCATGACCTTCATTGCCTCCTCGTGTACACTGCTGTCGCCTTCATTACTGTTTTCATCTCTATTGCCTTCTGAAATGAATTTGAAAAAAAGGGTAACACTACTTCTGAGTGTCCTCAGTGTGTTCAGTGTTACAGTAAGAGTCTCAACACTCGTCCCCTCCGGTGCCGCCATGTTCACTGAGCCAGATGTACGAGCTTCACGGCCAACTTCACGCCATCTCACGGCCAAACAGTCACTGAGCAGGGTGCCAGATGTACGACCTTCACGGCCAACTTCACGCCATCTCACGGCCAAATCTTTTTGGATGGGAAGCACAAGGCTATTTTTGCAATCCACACAAAATAAAAGTATCCCCTACAATATCCACTTAAAATGTCGTAATATAACCAAATTTTCACTTAGAATTGAGAGCCCAATGATTACATAAACATAATATCTATAATCTACAGTGAAGATTTACCTTAATCTGAAATGGTGGTGGAGCATGATAATGGTGGTGGAGCATGATAATGGTGGTGGAGCATGATAATGGTGGAGAACTTGATAACACTAGTTGGCGTAAGCAAAACGTCTAGTTAGTCATCGTCCCCTGGTTTGTTATATTTTCTACCACTGTCGTAGGACCCTTTTCATTTACTAGTGGACATTTTGAAAACTAGCACTCGGAATTTCAGAAAGTAACTCAGATGGCTTTGTTAGCTCTGAAGCTGCCTATTGCAGACTCAATTCAATTCAATTCAATTTCAATTGTTTATTCCTTGATAGAGGAAGCGGGATCCTAGTGCTGTCACTAGGTACCCCTGTACAATGACACCAGAAGCATCTGGCAAGTGTGAAAAGTATATACAGTATAAATATTATAAAGGGGCTTACTAAAGCCTAAGGAAGGAAGGATGTTCCTTTAACACATAATTAATATTATTTACAAAATATCTGGCCAGTATTGGGAGGATCATCGTGTCTCCGTCAGGGGGTCGTGGAGTGGTGGTCCAGCAGGCGTCACGGAAGCGTTGTGTGTGGGGACATCTTAGGAGGTAGTGAATAAGGGTGCGGCTGTCGGGTCTTCTGCATAACGCACAAGAGCGCTGCTCAGGGGATGTGGGGATACCAATCTCCCAAGCAAAGTCATACCCAACGATGATACGGGCAGCAATCACGTCCCCCTTCCGCGACCCTTTCCCATAGACGTATGAGAAGTCAGGAAGTTTACGGAGGACATCGTACCATGTGGGCGGGGAGTCCAGGGGGATGGCTGCTTCCCGAGCTTCTCTCTGTTTGCGGCGGATTTGGGTCCTAATCTGTAAGAGTGTTCGAGGAACAACGTAGTCAGGTGTGGCCTTGTTGCAGCCAGTCTTGGCAAGGTCATCTGCTGCCTCATTCCCCAAGATACCGACATGACTAGGTATCCATAGGAATGTCACAGGACGGCCTTCATCCTGAAGTGTGGATGTTAACCCTCGTATTCGGAGGATGAGGTCCTTATTTTCCCCAGATCCAAATGCGATCCCGTCGAGAGCAGACCTGGAATCGCAGCAGACAAGCAAGGGGCAGAAACCATCTGCTTCTTCCTCAGCGAGAAGGGCAGCAAGGAGGGCTATTAGTTCAGCCTGAGTGGAGGATGCCCCGTCAGAAACTCTGAGAGACAGTTTGATAGGCTCAGGGGCATGAGGACGGGAGATGTAGACACCAGCCCCGGCCCTACCTGTAGCGGGGTCAACAGAACCATCAGTGTAGAGGACGACCCTACCTGGGGACCAGTGAGCGATCCTGGAGAGGTGGTATTTGCAGAGAATAACAGGGTTCACCTGGGATTTCGGGAGCGGTCCACCGAGGGCAATCACTTCAGGTTGAAAATCCAGCCAGGGAGAAGGAGACGAACCAACAGCAGGGGTGACAACAATATCAGGCAGGAGGTCATGTTCCTGAAGGGCTCGGATGAGTGACCCTCGCCACTGTCTTCTAGATGGAGGTCGGTCTCGAACAGCAGTAGTCAAGTTGGTTTGGACATAGTTGCCCCTAGGATCCCGTAGAATGGAGACGGCAGTTTTTAGGTAAAACTCCTGGACACGATCCTGTAAGGGGGAAAGACCAAGTTCGTTATATAGAGAAGTAGAGCGTGTCCACTGAGGAGCCCCAAGGATGATACGAGCAGCTTTCCTCTGGATAACTTCGAGACGGTTGACAGCAGTCCGACTAATGTTGACGAGGGCAGGGGCGGCGTAGTCGACACAGGAACGGACAAAAGACTTGTACATGGTGAGAAGTACAGGGATGCTGGCACCAAGGGAACCCCTGCACATGGTAGAGAGGGGAGCGAGACGCCGAAAACATATGTCTCGAAGATAGCGGACTTCAGGGATCTGACAACGTGTGCGAGTTACATACACACCCAGGTATTTTGTCTCATTAACCCAGTCCAAGGGCGTTCCTGATAAGAAAAGGGGTGGAGGTACAACACGACCGTGCCACATGGCTTTTGTTTTCGCAGTTGAAAGAAGGAAACCAAGTGAATCACACTCTCTGGAGACCAGATCAAGGGCTTCCTGCATGCTGAGGTAGTCAGGGGCTTGGAGGAGGACATCGTCGGCATATCCTGAGTGGACAACTTCTGTCGGCCACGGGAGTGATGCAATGGAGTGCATGAGAGTGTTAAACAAGGTGGGACTCAGGACTCCACCTTGAGGGGTGCCGAGGTTCATTTCTTGAACAGGAGACATAGAGCCTTCAACGCGAACCCGGGCCTGACGTCCAGTGAGGTAAGAGGCGATCCATTGTAGAAGTCTCCCTTTAACACCTAACCGTGCAAGTTCAGCTAAAATGAGGGCAGGCTGAGCCGTATCAAAGGCTCCCTTGATATCAAGGAAGACGGAGACGCGGGCAGTCTGATTGCAATAAAAGGAAGCAATGGAGTGTGCTGTGCTGCGATGTTGAATGAAACCATTGAGGGAGTTGTGGAAGCCGCCTATGGTGTGAAGAAGGCGACGATGGAGTACCCTCTCCATCATCTTGCAAACACAGGAGGTAAGACTAATGGGTCGATATTTCCCAGGATCTCCCGGCTTAGGGATGGGGATAATAGTGGCATTTTTCCAGTTGGACGGGAGAACCCCATGTTCATAAGACATATTGTAGAGAGCAAGCAAGGGGCCGTTAGGAATATTAGTACAGGCGTTGAGGACGGAGTAGGTTATCTGATCATCCCCAGGAGAGGTGTCTTTTCTAGAGCGACGAGCACTGTCAAGCTCGAACTGTGTGATGGGATGATCAGTGGGGGCAGGGGAGGTAAGAGCAGCACGAACAACAGGCTCAGACGCATCGATGCGGGCCTGCACTGTCTCCTGCATTGGATCTGGAAGTGCCTCAGGGGAGGAAGCTCGTGCCCAGTCCTCCATTAAAGAGCAGGCAAGGGAGGCGGGGTCAGGGTGGGGAGGAGGCCTCCGTCGAGTACCCCGTATAGCATTAATCCGATTCCATACATAAGAGGGTGACGACTGGAACGATAGAGATCCCGTGAAGGATAGCCAGTCCGCCTCACGTATCCGACGGCGCTCCTGAGTTGCAAAGGAGCACCAATTTTTGAAGTCTTCCCAGTCCTCTGGAGACCGAGACCTCCGTATGGCAGAGTGGAGATCACGGGTTACCTGCCGGAGATGTCTCATGGCAGGGATACGATACCAGTAGTTGGTGGCACTTCTGGGGTGACGGGGAGGGCGTGGAGGGGTAGCGCGATTGACAGAGTCATACACGGCATCAACAAAATCAGCGCTGTAAGAGTCAAGGGACTGAGGGACAACATAGGAATCCGCCCAGGTAGAAAGGTATTGGGTAAAGGAAGGAACAGCATCTTGTGTGAGACGAAGGCGAGGGGATCGATAAGGAGTTGATGTCGGGGCAGAGAAGGAGAGCCTGAGATGGGTAGTAACGGCAAGATGGTCACTATACAGAGCAGGCTCGGTGCAGACGGTAGGATGAAAGGAAGTATGACCGTTCAATAGTAAGCCAACATCAAGGAAACTATGGGGGAGGCGAGTAGGATCGTCAGGACAAAGAAAGCGAACATCATCATCCCCATTAAGAAACTGTGAGAGATGTGATCCATTAAGGGTACATGGAGTGGGATGATCCGGAGTAAGAGTGGGATGGCGGGCATTAAAGTCGCCAAGAACAATAGTGGGAACCCCATCATGGAGGTCGTGAAGAACCTGGGGGTCCAGAGAATCACTCTTGAAATGAACATTGACTACACGAAGGGTCCGGTCACCAAGAGTAAGGGAGACAGAAAGTAATTCAGACGGGGGTCCATGTGAGTCAGGTGAAGGGAGACGAACAGATGGAATGGTGTTACGCACAAGGGTGAGGAGGCCACGAGCCTGCCCACGGTACCGAGGCAGGGTGTAAACAGAATAGCCAGAGAGGCGGAGTGGAGTAACATCGTCTGCGATGGTTTCCTGAAGTAGAGCAACATCTACTTGATGGGAGAGCACAAACTGGGCGAGGTCTGTCCGGCGAGGTCTAAGTCCCTGGATGTTCCATTGTAAGAAGAGGAGGGAACGGCCTCCGGTGTGAGATGAGTCGGAGGGGCTAGACAGGGCTCCAGAGGAGGTACCAAATTCTGTTGAGAGAAATGGAGAGGGAGGAGTGGGAGAGCGAGGGATGGATCCTCCATCTCGGGAGATGGAAGGAGGCGGGTCATCAGGGCTTGCAAAGTGCGCCCCTGTTGGGTCAGGGTGTCCAGAATGAGTTGTTGTTGCTTCTGCAATGTCGCAATTGTTTTCACAAACAAGTCGAGTTGGGCTGAGAGAAGGTTGATTTGCTTGGAGTGGCGATCCAGACGGAGAGTGATTGTTTCCATAGAACCAACTTGGTGTACCTGTGCATGAGCTGGAGGTGGCGGCGAGGATTGCCGAGGGCCCGACTGGGCATGTGGTGGTGGTAGCGACGGAGAGGGACGGTGAGGGTTCAGTTGAGTAAGAGGTGGTGGTGCTGGTGAGAGACAGCGGGGGTCCGGGTGGGCAGGAGATGGTGGTGACTGTGTGGCAGGGCCGGCAACGACCTTGTTCCAAGAACGGTAGGGAGAGGGAGGGAGGGGAGAAAGGATGGGTGGTAGGGGTGATGGAGGGGGTGGTAGAGGAGAGGAGATCAATGGGAAATCCTTGGTGGATGGAAGAGGCGGTGGTGGATAGGATTGAGGTTTGGTTGACAGGGGCTTCGTCAGAGACGAGGGCGGTGGTACAAGGTAAGTTTTCCCCGGGCGAGTGCCAGGACGCTGTGGGCAATTGGCATTCCAGGCGTGGTGACTGCCATGGCAATTGACGCACCGTGGAATAACTGGGATTTTGTTCTGAATTTTC